CGGCCCCGCCCTGGAGGGGCCCGCCCTGAACCGTACACGCCCACCCATTGGCCAGTCCCCACAGGCCCCGCCTCCGGATTTGCCACGCCCCCACGCGCCAGCCTGGAAACCACTCTTAAAGGGACCTTGCTGGTGTCAGGCGTCGCCAGAGTTCTGTCCAAGAAAAAACGGAGGGTTTGAGCCGAGCAAAAACTAGTGCAGTTTCAGAAGGTAACGCAAAGCTTACGAGAAGGCTCAGCGGGCAAAGACGCTTGCCGCCAAATCTGAGGACCTGAGTTCAATCTCTGGGACCTACAATGTACAAGGCACCAGAGAACTGACTCCCACAAGTTGCTTTCTGACCTCCACAAGTGAACACTATGTGTTCACACACAAACACCCACAAAAACGTAAAAAGAGCTGTGTGTGCTGGTGCAGACCTTTAATCCCACCACTCAGGAGCCAGAGACAAGTGGATTTCTTTGAGTTCAAGGCCAGCCTGGTCTACATATCCAGTTCCAGGCTAGCTGGGACTCCCATAAGGAGACCTTGTTCTTAAACGAATAAATAAATAAATAAATAAATAAAGTTTAACCCATGGTTACAAAACACAGGTCTGTTTTGTAAATGTGCAGGACACCAAGCCATCTGCATGCTTGTCCCAGGGGTGACGGAAAGTTCTGGAAGTGAGCAGAGTTGGAGGTCCACCGAACCACTACACCTCTGTGTGCTGTCCCAACAGTAACTCAGCATCTCTGGGCTTCCAAGTCTTGTCCGTAAAATATAAAGACAAGTGTAATATTCACAGGGTGTGACCCAACTGCAGGCGTTCTCAGTTAGTAGAAATTGCTAGAGTTTCCTCCTCTTCCCAAAATAACACAGTTCCACCTCCCAGAATCCTTCACTTCCTGTTCTTTCTGCCTCCTCCTCACTTCCTTCTACCTTCCTACCCTGGGACCTCCTAGCCTGAGGACAAGAACAAAACAGGACTGACGAGGATCCCTGCTTCATTTCACATCCTCTCACCAGCACCTACTGTGTGCAGCCTGACCCAGAGAGAAATAGGCAGGAGTCAATCAATAAACAGTTCTAAAAGTGTGTGGTGTGAGGAAAAGAATCGGCAAGAGTGGGAGGGAGGGCAGTGGTAAGACAAATTCTCAGGAACTGCCACTGAGGAGCAATGACTTAGCAGGATGTGTGAGAGTCTTGGGAGACCTGCAGGAAGGGTGTCCCCCAAATAGCAAATCCACCTGGCCCAGAGCAGGCAGGCTGCAAGTGGAGGAAAAAGAAGTTAGGGCTGTGGGCTTTTACTAGACCACATTGCATGGGACCCTGTGAAATTGGGGAAAACTTTGCTTTCAGGCATGCATGGTAGCACACACTTGTAATTTCAGCAGTTGGGAGGTGGAGGCAGAAGGATAGCTGCAAAGCAAAAAGTACATAGCAAGACCCTGTCTCAAAAAAAAAAAAAAATGTAGTAGACCAGGTTGTCCTCGAACTCACAGAGAGCATCTTGTCTGCCTCCCAACTTGGGGGGACTGACATCATGCATTATGATGCCTGGCCTGTGGAGGACTTTGATCTGGGATGCAATCTTTAGGGGACTGTAGGGCAAGGGGAAAGACTTGGAGGCCAAGCATGAGCCTTCTGCAGTGATCTGAGCAAGTTGTGATGGCAACTTTGAGGACAATGGGACAGCAGAAGTGGGGAGTGGGTAAATTTCATGTCTGTTTTTGAGATGTATGCACAGTTTGTTGATGCCTTCTGTGTGGAGTATGAGACTCAGAAAAGGAGTTAAAATGGGCCTGAGTAATGGATACAATGGGAGAGCCTGGAAGGGAATTAGGAGTCTAGGGTAGCTGTCACCAGACAGAACTGGAGCAGGCAGGGATCCATGGTGAAAAATAAAGCCCACTCTACCTCACACTACAGACTGACGCTGATGCCAAACAGACTTCAACATGAGAGCGGCCCTGGAAAATCTCCAGGGGCCTAAAGGTGGAGTCCACTGGCGTGCATGAGGCCCTGGTGGGATCCCCAGGCAGGGAGGGATGGCCCAGCCTTCCTGAGGGAGGAAAGAAAAAAGGGAGTCCTTACTGTTCAATCAATAGTCAGTTGTTGATCAGTCGTCAGTGGTCCTCAATCTGTCCTGTCAGTCAGTAGTCACTAAGTCTGCCATCTGAAGTCCTCAGTCATCACTCAGTCGTCCTATAGTCATCACTCTGCCTGTCATCGTCAGTCGTCAGTCAGTCTACAGGTCAGCTGTCAGTGTTCAGAAGTCAGTCATCAGTCAGTCTAATCTCACCCTAGACTGCATGTGTGAGGCCCCAGGATCAGTTCCCAGCACCACCATAAAAGGGAGACTTAGCCCCCACTCCCCAGCCCTAGCAGAGCTCAATGTTCTGTCTCTATGGATTTCACATGTGAATTTGCAGACTCCGCATCATCCATTCCTCTCCATCCATTTCGCCCTCCAGGGCTCAAGGCCAGTTCATGCAGCAGCTGAAGTTGGCATCCATCCTTTTCACGACTGAGTAACAGCTCATCATTGACACAGAATGCATTTTGCTTATCTGCCCATCTACTTAGGGGTCTTAGCCTGTCTCTGACCATGAGTAGCCAATACGTTTGTGGCTGGGGTTGAAGATGGGTGGAAGGGATTATGACTCAGGAACACCAGAAAGGGGAATTTGGGAACCTCCACTGGGCTGTGGCCACGGATATGGTTTTGCCTCCAAACCACGTGTCAAATCCAGCATGCCCCCATCTCTGCAGCTACTTCCCCATGTCACCACTGTGATTCCTCTTCAGGGCATCAGGGCCCTTCAATTCTCCTCCTCAGACCCTCTGGGCTCTAGACTCCCTTCTCCACCAGCAGCCGTAGGGCTCCTTTTGAAGCTTGCCTCAGAACAAATCCTGCGGTTCTCTTGGTCAAAGGCATCATGGCTCCTCATCACCTCAGGACCAAGTCCAGAGTGCTCCTGCCAGCCACAATGCCTTCCCCGCACTGGCCCAGGCCACTCCTCCAGCCAACTCGAACACTGTTCCCTTTCTCCCTTCTCCTACCCTCTGCTACCTGCCCTGCCTGTGTTCCAGACCTCTTCCTGTCTGCCGTTCCAGGAGACTCCCCACATCCTCTGAGACGTGGCTGCCCACTCTGATTCCTGAGGCTTCACTGGGCCACACTTCCTCTTAAAGGAGGCAAATGACTCCAGCCCTTTATACTGAGTTCAGTACCTTCCTTCTTTCCAGTCATTCACTCAGCCAGTAACATTTAAAGAACTGCTGTCCCAGGTACTCAGAAAATAAGTTAAAAAACAAAACAAAACATGATAAAGGCCAGGTGGTGGTGGCACACATCTTTAATCCCAGCATTCGGGAGGCAGAGGCAGGTGGATCTCTGTGAGTTTGAGGCCAGCCTGGTCTACAGAGAGTTCCAGGACAGCCAGGGCTACACAGAGAAACCCTGTCAAAAGAGTGTGTGGGGGATGGGACACTCATGTCCTTTCTTGAATGTCCTGCGTTAGAGGCTTTGCAGCCCTATCACCAGATCCTCACAAACACTGAGAGACAATGTCTGGGCTAGTTTTATGTTGATTTGATATGAGCTAGAGTCATCTGAGAGGAGGGAACCATAGTTGAGAAAAATGTCTCCATAAGATCCAGCTGTAGGAGGCCAGGTGGTGGTGGCACTTGCCTTTAGTCCCAGCACTTGGGAGGCAGAGGCAGGTGGATCTCTGTGAGTTCGAGACCAGCCTGGTCTACAAGAGCTAGTACCAGGACAGCCTCCAAGCCACAGAGAACCCCTATCTCCAAAAACGGGAAAAAAAAGCAGGCAGTGGTGGTGCATGCCTTAAGTCTGAAGCACTCAGGAGGCAGATCTCAGTGAGTTTGAGGCCAGCCTGGTCTACAAAGCAAGTTCCAGGATAGCCAGGACTTTTATTACAGAGAAACCATGTCTCCAAAAACCACAAAAAAGAAAGAGAGAGAGAG